CATAGCGTCCATGTTAAGTCGGGTCGGGGACGGCATGTCACTGCCAGTAGATGCCGCAACAGCAGCTTTCGACGTCGGCGCGACGTCGCTGTCGTCCGAGAGCGACAGCTCAGCATCCAAGTTGATGCTTCCACTGGGCCTTTGGTCCGTCGATGACGTTTGGGGGCGAGTAGCCACAGCGGCAGAGGCGACTTGTGGTACCGGCGCGGCGTCACTGTCGTCCGACAAGGATAGATCCGCGTCCAAATTGACGTTTCCGATGGATGTTTGGTCCGCCGATGACCTCTGGGGGCTAGTACTCGCAGGGGCAGCGACAGCTTGGGGTGCCGGTGCCTCGTCGCTGTCGTCCGACAAGGACAACTCGGCGTCCGATTCCAGTCGGGTCGGAGACGACTGGTCGTCGGCAAGAGGCACGGTCGAGGCTGTTGCTGTCGGCGCGTCGGCGCTGTCATTGACTGAGAGCGACAAGTCAGCGTCCATCGATAGTGCGCCCGCAGTGCTTTGCTCTGGCGCGACGCTCGCGTTGGCTGGTGTCAGTTCCGACGACGGCGCGAGATCGGTGGTTGACGCGACACCGCCACGCATTGCGACAAGCCCTTGTGCAGCCACTTCCGGCGTCGACGGCGCGCGTTCATCGACATCCGAGTCCGACCCGTCGGAGAGCAGCATGCCCATAACGTCGTCATCGTCGTCGTCACCGCCGTTCGTCCCGTGGGCCAGCGGCTGCCTCTCGGGCTCGGCTTCAAGCTCGGCCTCAAGTTGTGCTTCGAGCTGCTGGAGAGCCTCACCTTGGAGCGTGTTCACCGGTGGCGCGGCGGCATCTGTCGCCCTGCGACTGTCGTCGTCTGCATTGCCAGGATCGTAGTTGATGCCGCTGTCGCCGGGGTCGTAGTCGATTCCGTTGTCGTCGGAGTCGTAGTCGATTCCGTTGTCGTCGAGGTCGTTGTCGATGCCGTTGTCATCCGGTTCATGCTCGGCGCCAGGATCAACCTCGTCGTCGTTCGCAACAGTGTCGTCAGTGTGCATCTCGCGTGCCTCGAGTGCCGAGTCGCCTACCACGTCGAACGCCGGAAGCTCGTCGCCGCTGTCTTCATCGGGCAAGTCGCCAAATGCCAGCGCTTCGAGGTTCATGCCTTGCACCAGATCTACACTTGAAAAATCAGCGAAAAGACATCCATCGATGGCACCTACCGGCAGCAGCGGCCGTCGCGCGCATCTCTTCGAACGTTTTCTCAAACTTGTCCATGAACCCATCGAGCTCGTCTTGCTGGGGCGCGGGTGGCATCGTGGGAATGCGAATCGTCGGGCGTGCCAGTCGGGCCGAGGGCGCGCCGGGCTACAAGCATGCAAATCAATCTCGTTGTTTGTGCAGTTCATAGTGTACCTTGGGTCGGAACGGCTTCATATGTTCCTGGTAACTCGCATGGAGATGCTTGAGCGCCAAATCAAACTCCAGCGGCTCAAAGGGCTCGAAAGCCTCGGGGATCTCGTCCGGCTCGGCCGGCGGCGGCGCCGTGAACTCCGTTCGACGCACCCAGTTGTAGCCGTGCATACACCGAAGAAAGGCGTGGTCGCGGTCCAAGCGTACCAGCATGGCTTGTGCTTCGTGGCTCGCGTCTGGGTACAGCACGCCCCAGGCGTCGCACCACGTTTGCGCCAGCGATATGTGCATGGCTGACTCTACCATGCACGTACTCGTACATGAGCATCGACGCGAAGAAGCATGCATACCAATATCGAGGAGGATCTTTTGCTTGATCGGCGTGCTTTGGCACTGGTAGACCGTGTACAGCGTGAACGTATGGCCGAGTACCTTGAGGCGCAAGGCGTCAACGACGTACTGGTCATGGTGCTCGCGCGTGCCATGGCGACAGGCGAGAATCGACTCGACGAGGAGGCCTACATTGGCACATGTCGTACGACGTGTCGCTCGCTGTCTGCATGTACGTACCTAAGGCCTCGCGCAGCATCATGTGGACAATCTCGGGGCGCGCGACCGAGGCAAAGTCGATCTGGTACATGCGCGAGAGGCCATGCGCCTTCCATGCGCCCTTGAAGCCCGCAAACGAGTAGTGGCGCTACGTAGGTACCATGAGGACGAGGTCGATGGCAGGCAGTAGTACGTCGGCGAGGAAGGCGCTGACCATGTTGAGCACCTCGTTGCGGAAGAGCTTGGCAAAGTCCTCGAGCGCAAGCATGTCCCGGGCCTTGGACGCGCTCACGCAGGGGCGGAGGCCCCACAGCGCGCGGTCCTGTGGGTTCATTCTCGCGGGCCAGCGAACTCTTTCGCATCAAGTACGGTAGTATCCGGACGGACCATCCAATCACAAGCGAGATCGTGCATCGCCGGTTAAAGATCGCAATAATCGCACGCCAAGAAAGCAGCTTGCGAAGACGTCTCGCCAAGGGTGCTCCCTAATGTCGAGGACGCTATTTGCGAGCGGAATGTGGGTGCTTGCTAGAATCGCGACAATAGTACATGTACAAAAATACTATTAGTACTAGTAGTACCGATGACCCGGAGTTAAAGAAAGGTGGGCGTTAAAGGATTACTAGGTAGAATCAAGGGCGCCTCATCAAGCTCTGTTCTAGCCTTAAGTCGAAGCAAACAGCCGCGCCAAGGCATCGCTTGCACGCTCCATTTTGACGAGTTTTCCCCGAGGAACCCGACGAATCAACGCATTTTTCAACGCGACGAAAAAGGCGCTCGTGGATGTTTTTACGGTGACTAGCAAGCGCCTTGCTCCTAAATCATTTTGAATCCTTAGCGCCGGACGGAGGCGATCCATTTCTGGCGCATACGATGGCATGGCAAGGATAATTGCAATGGCTTGACTTGAGTTCTCTCAGTGTGTTTGATGCAGCGGTACCCCTGGCTTGATGGGATCCGACGCGCTGTAGCGAAGCACCAGCGCACGAGTACAAACAAGGTCAGGCACGACCACTTGCTGGCGCGTGACGGCTCCATTGAATGCAACCAAAGTCATTTTCGCTGGGCTGCACAAACTGAGCCTTGCAGCACATTACTTGTACGTTATGAATTTTCGCTGGGCTGCACAAACTGAGCCTTGCAGCACATTACTTGTACGTTATGAAGGATCACGAGACGCGATGCGCTCTCTTGTGGGGGCAGAGCCAAACGCTACGAGAGTACTATGCATCCTCCAATCAAGCAGGCACGGATTGTCGTAATCATCGTTCCCTGCGGAACGAGGTGCTTCTGTTGTTCTAATAGAATGGACTGGTGATCGATGATAACGTCGAGCGGTCATCCCAGCTTCTTGGTCGTGCGACCAACTCTGTTCAATGCAAGACCATTTCTGTGTGTTGAACGCCTTCGATGCCAGCGTGCATACCGGTACCTACTGTAGTGGCCCATACGCCGAACTGTCGCCCCACAAGCAGCGTCGCCACACGAGCCTCGCATGGCGTCCCAATGCGTGTTGACGCTACAACAAGGTGTTTATGGTAGCATTTCTACGCGCAACATAACATGGGATGCCCATCATTGTTACTCGCCGCAATCCAAGAAAAGTGTCCTTGACAGGTCGCGCCAAGCTGTCGCGCCATGTCCGTTTTGAACCATACACGATGTCTCCTAGAAGCGGCTCACGATGAGCATAGTCTTGAGCCATTGACCTGGAGCAGTTTTATGCATGTGTTCTAGTACTACGTTGCTTCTATAACGTTGCCGACCCTCGAGCATGCATCCGAGACGACGACGTCAGGTGCTTCGTCAAGGGGTGCTTCGACACGTGCGCCTGTTGAGTCGACAGGCCATCGGATGACTGGCGGCAACGGCCTTGATGTCAAGCGCGAGCTTCCAACAGCCAAGTATGACGTCACGGCCAGCTTCAACTAGATCATCGGCGCTCTTTTTCAAAAGCACCACCACCAATACAAACTACGTGTTATAATAAAATACCATCAATTAATTGTCGAATCGCCCGTCGCTGCTTTTGCACCAATCAAACGGTAGGTATCCTCAGCATGCCTCTCTCATTGGTCGATTTTCTGGTCCCCAATCATCAGGGGAACGTGGCATCATCGCGGGCGGATCCACCAACAGCCAATGGCATCGTCGGATCGTAGCATAAAAATATGGTCTTTCAACTTGGTATTTGTATGTGGAATGAAATGTCGGAGCCGTGCGATGCCATTGGGCGAAATCGGTATTAAATTGCGCATTGTTGACTCGGTCATTGTATGCGTATTTGAATAAAAAGTCACCACGCCAACGAATTTGATGACCGAGGATTTGTCTCCCGAGCTCACTCTTGGTTTTGCCAGACACCGCACGATGGAAGCCCTTTGGTTGCAGTTTGACGCCGCCGTGCGCCCGATGGAGAAGGTCATCTTGGAGTGGGCCGACCCGTCGGGCCGCTACGAGCTCTCGCCCACGAAGGACTGGGCGATGACGGACTTTTCGACCGCCGCCGCGATCGCGCTCGCGTACCTCGTCTTTGTGATTGTCGGCACGCTCGTCATGAAGTCGGGTGTCCCGGCTATCAACACGAGCGCGCTCCAGTTCGTGTACAACCCGATCCAGATTGCGCTCTGCTCGTACATGTGCATTGAGGCCGGCATCCAGGCCTACCGCCACGACTACTCGGTCATGCCGTGCAACGCGTACGACGTGGCCAAGCCGGTCATGGGCAACGTCATGTGGCTCTTTTACGTCTCGAAGATTCTCGACTTCATGGACACGTTCTTTATCATTGTCGGCAAGAAGTGGAAGCAGCTCTCGTTCTTGCACGTGTACCACCATTTGACGATCTTTTCGATCTACTGGCTCAACATCCGCGTGCTCTACGACGGCGATGTCTACCTCACGATCATCCTCAACGGCTTCATCCACACGATCATGTACACGTACTACTTTGTCTCGGCGCACACCAAGACGATCTGGTGGAAGAAGTACATCACGACGATGCAGCTCATCCAGTTTGTCACGATGAACGTCCAGGCCTACATGACGATCTCCAAGAAGTGCGACGGCGCGCCCATGAACGTCTCGATCATGTACCTCGTGTACATCCAGTCGCTCTTCTGGCTCTTTATGCACTTCTTCATCCAGTCGTACTGCCAGACGCCCCGCAAGGAGGCGTCGGCCAAGAAGACCAACTAAAAGTGTCGTAATCTCATACTCGTCCACTACTACCAGTCCCCAACCTTGTTTCGACCATTCGCGCATCGGAATCGCTCGCACGCATCCTTCCATCGCAAGACATGCCTCCAGACGGCTCGCACTGGGACCAAGGCGATCGCGTGTACCGCGCGCCACGTCTACAAGTAGTCCCTGTCCTTATCAGTCGATGGCTGCGGACAGAATCTGATGCATCCGCGTCTCCCAACGAGGCATAGCTCCCACGTGGCGTCTTGACAACCCGCGACGAGTGCCAGTCTTGGAACGACACGCTTGGTACCTGCTTTCCGCGGGCCTGGGCCAAGCATTGAGGCTGTTGCTGCACTCTCTCCGAAGCTTTATCGTCGTGCCGTTGCCGTTGCCGGACCGCAACGCCCACATCGAACACCACGAGCGATGTCTCGTCGCCTATGCTGCCACGTCATTCTCGGCAAGCTATTTATAGCGCATCGGGCTATTTGTCGAGTGACGCAGTCGGACATGTGCTCGTGGGGCTCGTCGACGCAGCAGGCCAAGTTCTACAAGGGCGCGCTGGCCGATACGCCGTGGAACAAGGTAGCATGTATCCTCTATCTTGACGTTCCATTCTCCCGCGTCTAGGATCTCTTGTGGCGTCACCAAGTCGCCAAAGAAATCACGCAAACCAAAGTGCACGACGGCGAGCTCCCGCCGACAGACGCCACCAAGCGGCTGCGCGCCCAGCGCATGAAGATGGGCGTCACGGGCACGCTCGTTCCGGACGTGACGCCGCGGGCCTTGGCGCTCGCGTCGCGGCCGCGCACAGCAACATCGTTTTCGGGGCGCTCCCGGTCGTCATCAATAGGCTCGCGGTCGTCGCTCACCGCATCCACCAGCTCGATGGCGTCAACGCTCTCGCTGCAGCACCGGTTGGAAGCCAAGGTCGAAGCCGAGACGGCCAAGGTCGCAGCGGCGACGCAGCGGCAGCTCGCGAGCCTCCAAGCCGAGCTCCGCGAAGAGGCGCGACAGCGCAAGGCGGCCGAGCGCACGATTCATTTGCTCTGTGCCAAGCTGAACGTACGCGACCAGCATCAGAGGACCACGCTGCAACGCTAAGAACTCGAATCAATATATTTAATTGCGGCGGAAATTAGGTTTCGACGCGCCAAACCCGGGCTTCTTGAACCCGGGCTTGCTGCCGTACGCGGGCTTGTTGCCAAAGGCTGGCTTGTTGCCATACGCAGGCTTGCCATCGTTGGTGCGCGGCTTCTTGGCCGGGCGGTCTTCGACACCGTCCGTTGTGCGGAAGCGCTTGAGGATGCCCATGAAGAACGCACGGCGGTTGCTAGCAAATAAATCGACGATGAGATCTTGATAGCAAACAAAGAGGGCGTACATGACGGTCTCGTTCACACAACGGTTGAACTCTTCGAGCGCGACCTTGGCCGTCTCGTAGTCGAACCACGAGAGGAAGTCCGTCATGCGTTCGTCGACGTCGTCCTGCGTGAGCTTGCACTCGGGGTTGTCGACGTTCTTCTGGAGGAGCGCGCGGACCTAAGATTCGAGGATAGTATATCAGAACAAGCGCGATCAATAGAATGGAAAACCTTTTCGATCTGCTTGGCACTCTGCTTCTCGCGGAGATCCTTGATGCGCGACGTGCGGAGCTCCGACTTTTTGCCACCGCCGTTGGCCGTGAGCTCGACATTGATGCGCCGGCCGTCGAGAAGACTATGGTGGCGCGAGAGTGCGGCGCCGAGCGCCTTGCTGTCCTTGACCTCGATGAACGCCGTGCCCTTGAACTTGCCCGTCTTCTTGTCGGTCGCCATACGAACCTTGAGCTCGCCGGCTTCGTGAAAGTGCTTGCGGATCTTGTCCTCGGTCGCCGAGAAAGGAAGCTGGCCAAGGAAGAGCGTCAAGTGAATACGCTTCTCGTTCGGGTTCTCCTTCTCGGGCAGCTTTCGCTTGGCCGGACGGGGCTTGGTCTCGGGCTTGGCTGGTGCCTCACCGTCGGCCGTGGCAGGCGCGCGCTGGGCCGCACGCTGTGCAAGGCGGCGCGCCTTGGCGTTCATGCCCGAGGCCTCGTCCGCAGGGGCTTCGGTCGGCGTCTCGCGCGCCGCGGCACGCTTCTCCAAGCGGCGCTCCTTGGCCGTCTTGCCCGTCGCGTCCGTCTCATCCTTGGGCGCCGACGCAGATTTCTTGGTCTTTGTGACCGAAGGCGCGGCAATGACGTCGGCCACTGCCGGCTCTTCTTTCTTGGCCTTGGTAGCAACCGGCGTGGGCTTGGCAGCAACGGGCGTGGCCTTTTCCGGCGCCGGTGCAGCAGGCGCGGCCACAGGCTCGGGCACAACGACCTCGACTGCGGTCGCCTCCTTGGCCGCCAGCTCCTGCGCACGCTTGAGCTTCCGGCGGTCCTTGGCGTTCATCTTGGCGTCGCTCATGCTTCGTGGTGCGGAATCTATAAAACGCGTTTGTGGGCTGCCAATCAATTGCAGCGATTTCGGCCAATCGTTTTGCAGGATTCTTATCCGGACCCATGGCACGTAACGGCCATGTGGCGGCATATGCCATTTTTAATAATTAATTTCGGCATATGCCAGCCCAACGTATCTGCCGCTTGTGCAGGACCGAGGCCAAGCTCGGAGGCCATGCGCATCAGAACCAAGCGCAGCAGTACTGTATGCTTCGCCGGAATAAACGATAATCGCAAGCGTGTCTTGTGGTATGCATTGACCGCGAATGGCTTTGGACGCGCACGGAGCCACGGACATGGCCCGTAACTGCTGCCACCATTGTCCGACAGGACAGCGTGCGTCACGCTGGCGATCGAGTACGTCCTCTTTGTCGAGCATCAATGTGCGAATGTTCAGACGCTTGGACCAAGCTGTGTTCATGACCCACCTCATCCTCATCCTCACCGACCAAGCCTCGAGCCTTGGTCGAAGAAGTGGCGGTCTGCGACCAAACTTTTCTTCTGGATCAAAGACTGCTTGGAAAGGCGGCGCGGGATCTGTACCTAGTGTACATCGCGTAGGAGGTACCGGTCGCGGTCAATGAGTGCTGTCTCTCCTTGCCTAAATTTTTACATCTCATTACGCAGAGAGCAGTCGCGGGTCATTCCAACTTGACGGCTCTCTTGCACCACGTGGTGGTGGCAAAATCTCGGAGTGTACGGTGGACGCAATAAAATATAGCCACTTCATTCGCACCTCAACCGTCTAAACGCACGCAAGTTGCCATCACCGTTCGGTCTGTCTCCGTCGGCGCGAGGAAGCGAGATGCAGTGAACCCTCGCGGTTGCCGAGAGCCTCGACAAGTATAGATGGGTACGCGTGCTATCCACAACATGTTGGTCGTGAGTGACCTCGGTGCGATTCTACTCGTATTACCTAGACTGGTATTTATATGCACGGGTAGAGGTCGACGGAGCAAGATCAAAAATGGTAGGTGCCGTTGTGTACCTATTTCTCAGGTCCTACGATCTAAATCCTCGAAATCGCCGCGTGCTATAAGATCTTGGTGTACGAGCGATCTGAGTCAAGTAGCTTACTCACGGCCACGATGGGCGTACTTGAAGGCTCTTGCTACACTGATAGTTCGTAGCGAGCAGTCGTCTCCGCCAGTGTATGCACGAGACTATTGGTTGGTTCGCGGCGTGTATGCTGCCTTGCTCGACGAGGGTACGTGCTCAGCGTCTTGCGATCGGTCGCGCTGTAGCAACCTCGAGCTCCTGCTCGTGCCATCGATTGTTGGGTGTTTCTAGCCTATCTATTTTCGATACATTTAAATAACCGTCTGCCACCAACGCGCTGAAGTGGCGCGTTTCATCAGTTTGCTTTTTCCGCACTGATGCTGCCGCCTTCGGTCGGGATCACGACGACACACAAGCTGCCGCGGAAGCTCCGCCAGCAGCGCCAGCGCCAGAAGGCCCAGGCCGCGCACGAGGCCAAGACCGACATCGAAGCTTACATCGAGCGTGAAGTCAAGCGCCGGACGGCAGCGATCGAAGCCGAGGCGCGACGCAAGATCGAGCGCCTCCACTTGGCCTACGATCTGCACGTCAACAGCGAGATCGAGCGCTATTTGGAGACGTACGTGGCCGGCTCGCCGCGCGCCAGCGACGTCAAGAAGAAGCGCAAGAGCAATGTCCTCTCGCAGCTCTTCGCCAAGCACGAGGCGGACGAGCCGCGCCAGATTTCCGATCTCGACCGCTTCCGCGCCTACCTCAGGGGCAAGTCGGTGCGTCTCGCCGCGGACCTCCGCCATGCCGACGAAGCGCTGGCCACAGCCACGGACCCGACGGTCAGCGAACTCATCGAGACGATCGAGAAACTCCGTGTGCTCGTGCTCAAGCAAGACGAGCAGCTCGAGCAGGCGCAGTACCTCCTCCAAATTGCACTCGCCAAGGTCGAGAGCTCGGACGATATCGTTCTCGGTCTGGACCATGAGCTTGGGTGCATGGAGAACCGGCTCGAACGCGCGTCCACGCAGGTCCAGGTGCTCCGGCGGTCCCAGCGTGCGACGCACCGCGTCGGGACGGTCTAGGCGCTTCTTTGTGTAATTCTATTTATTGTCCAGAACAACTCGTCCACTAGGTAGTTGCTTTGCATCAACACGCTCAAGGCCGATGATGCAATCGCCTCGGATATCCCTCCGGGACGGACGCTCTGGTGGACTTGGAATTTGTATGCGTTACGCGACAGGCCTTTCTGAAGCTAGCCGAATCATCGCTGCCGTCATTTTCCAGTTGACCGCGAAAAAGCGCAAGCATGGTGCTCCCAGTGCTCATTGCAGGCGGCGCCGTTGGCGGCAGCTGCGCCGCGTACGCTACCTACCACACGGGCGAGTTTGTCGCGACGACGGTCGTTGGCGCCAAAGCTTCGCCGCCGATGACGGGCCTCGGCGTGCTCGGGGGCGCCGTCGCGTCCATCGCGACCTACAACGCGACGGCCCGCGCCCTCGCATCGAATGCCACGTATGCGAAGTGGACGACGTTCTCTGCGCCCGCCAACGTCAACGACTGGAACTTCAAGGACTTTGCCCGGACGTCGGGGCCGTATGCTGCGTCTCGGTTTGGCCTTGTGCTCGCGTCGGTCGCCGCGTTTGGCTTTACCCGCGTCGTTATCGATGCCGCCCGCGACGCCACCAAGTAGCTCCGTCGTACTCGTTCTGAATCGACAATGTATATTTGTACAAAGGTCCGCGGACGCAATAGATAGATAAATACCTAGGACGTTTCTTCGCGTGAATCAGACCAAGCAAGTGGCTGTAAGCTCAAGGCAGGAAGATTGTGCACGGAAGTATCCGACAGCATCGTGCTTTGGGACGCCGGGATGAGCGGTCAGCACGGTCCAGAGCTCCTTTTGTTCGCGAGCGGCACAGAAAGGTGCCCACCACCAGCCTCCTCCATGTGCCCCGTCAATTCTCCGATTTGGAGGCATCCACCAGCTCCGCCCGATGCAGCTTTTAGCACACTTGACTTGTACGTCCTCCATGAGCAGCATGGTCCTTATGGGCTCACTGCCCAAGGTCCTCGAGCCCAGAACGCAAATGCAGCGAAGAGACGCGTGCAATTGAGATTGGTGTTGAGATTCGCCAGGAGGAACTGGTAGTAGTACGTGCAATTTGAACATGTCGCCGCTATGTTGGCCATCGAGCGCGAGCCGCAAGGGAAATGAGCTCGAGATTTTCGACGTTACCGGTGTCGGCCGAGCGTCACAAGCCCGTTTGGCTGATTGTGTCGGTGTGAGAATTGCGGCGTCGTCGACTTGCGCTGCGTTTGTCGGTGTAGCGTTCTACCACCTAGTACACAGTGAGGGCGCATTCAGTGGGGCTCACGAGTTTTTTGCCTTTTTGGATCGAATCATTCGTCCATTGAGAGACGAGACTAGGGCTGACAACCTCATCAAGACAGCGCCAAGAATAGATTCGAGTAGCCATGGCCGACGACGACGAGCTCGAACGGGGGGCGCACCTCAAGCTAGCGCAGCGCCACCGGGTCGTCGTGCCCGGGACGTTCCACGGGCCACGCGTGTGGCAAGCCGACCTCCACTCGCCCGGGACGCTCGGCGCGGCCTCGGTGACCTTTGCGACTTCTGGCAACCTCCCGAAAGAGAGCAAGCTCGTGTTAGTGTTTCCCGACACGGGCTGGGGCTTCCCCGACGTGCCGCTTGTCATCGTTGCAGCGTCCGCAGGGCGTCCGTCGCCGCGTGCAAAGGCGGTGTGGTACCGCGCCACCAACACGCTCGAGGTGACGACCCTCGACGAAGACATCGAGGCTGGTGCCATGATCACGCTCACGGTGGCCGGTGTCGCGACGCCGGCGTGTGCGACGCCGGGTGGCGAGCTTGTCGCCACCACGTTCGAGAAGAAACGAATTCGCAACACGGTGCCACCTTCGATTCGTGGCGGTCACGTCATTGACGGCCCGACACGCATGACGATTCCGTCGCTCGTACCCGGTGCGTCTCGGAACCTCCATTGGAGAACGATGGGAGAAAGCTGCTTGTAGGACCGATTGCTGGGGAACGCCGTTGGATGCCCCTCAATTGCTGCCCGAATGCAGTGGCAGACGTGCTACTGGATTTGAAAGTCACAGGTTCAGTTCCCAAAGGCGGTATACAATTCAAAAACTTTGGTGCAAAAGGGCATATCATGCGATAGGAAAGATCCTCGTTGAGCTCGCCCCCGACGGCGGCTGGGACATGGAGGCGACACCAAAGGTTTCACTCGACGTGCGACCACCGACGTCGTTGCAGACCGTGGGTCCTGTCGCCATCACGGCGACGTGGCACAAGGACCAGCAAGCGCTCGAGATGCTGCTTCTCGACGGTGCGATCCCGATGCAGAGCACGATCAAGCTTCTCGTGCGCCAAGTGCACAACCCTGTTGGCGAGCGCCCCGAGGCGATCGCCCGCGTCACCACCCTCGTCGGCAACGGCGGCGTCATTGACGGACCGGTGAAAGTCACCATGGCGCGCATTAGTGAGCTCCGAGAGCTCGACTTTGCAAAGGCGTCGGAGGCCTTTGCCCGCCACAACCCGAAGTCGGTGGTTCGAGCGCTCTTCGCCGACTAACAGACGCCATGCGACTAGGGACGGTCTCTTGACGCTCGAGAATGTGGTCGCGGCGTTCAAGGAGCTCTCGATTCGCACGAGTGTCGACGCGTTGCGAACGTCGGGGCTTCAGTGCACACCCATCGAGGAGGCCACTTCCGCGACCACGGCACCGCCCGTGCACAAGAAGGGCGAAGCCGCGCCCGTCGTTCCGCCCACAATCACCCGCGACGGCGTCTCCCACGAAGCATTCCTCAACTACTTTACCACCGTGTATACGCCAGCATTCAAATTCGGGGAGGAGCTGCGCACGGTCGCGGGCCGAGGTCTCCTCCCGCGCCTCCGCGAGCTGGCGCTCAACGGCTGCGACGTCAACGCCAAAGACGGTGCGGGATGGACGGCATTGCATTATGCGGCTGAACACGGCGCGCTCAAGGCCATCCAGGCCCTCGTGGAGGCTGCCCCCGCACTCCACGTCGACGCTGTCGACGTTGCGGGGTGGACCCCGCTCATGTGTGCGGCCGCCAACGGGCACATCACTGTCATCTCGCGCCTCCTCGGTACGACGTCGTCTTCGGCTGTACACACTTCAAAATGTTGAGTAGAGCTGGGGGCGGATGTCAACCACAAGAGCAAGGAAGGGCGCACGGCGCTGCACTGGGCAGCCTCCCGCGGCATGGAAGGCGCGGTATCGAGCTGCAAAGTCGGGTGGGTCATGCAACGCATGTCGTATTGTAGGTGAGCTTTCTACTACTGGGGGGTGCCGAGATTGACGCGGTCGACCGGTGTAAATGGACCGCGCTGCACTGCGCGGCGGTCCACGGCAACGTCGGCTGCGGCAAGCTCCTACTGGAATATGGCGCCGACCTCGCGACGAGTGACGCGCTCGGGCGCAGCGGATGGACGTACTGGGACGCACCTGCCGCTGCGCTTCTGCAAGGACACGTTGAAAAACTTCAAGCCATGGGCATGCTGGCCAAGAAGAGCTAATGGTGTCGATATTACAAGAAAGAATAATGTAATAAAAGAAAGAAAAAAGAATGAAGAAAAAAGAATGCACACAAAAAATGAGCAACAGCCGGATTAGTGAAGCCACTTATCAAAACCGTCTTCATCGCGGGAAGCGCGTGCTCACGTCAGCTGCCACGTGCCCCATGACGTCAGCTCCTGACGACCTGCAGGGTGCTACTATTAGCAAAGCTGCAAAGAAGGAGCGATTTGAATCCTGGTCTGGAGCCAGCCACGCAACGCGAGTAGTGTACGTCACTGCAGCCACAGGAGGAGGCAGCACCGCGTGCACCTTGCTGGTTTGCACTGCGATTACGCACCACAGCCATGCATAGGTAATCGATCACGTACACAAAGACGGACACAGAACCCCGTCGATCGTTGGCGTATAGTGCGTACAGTCGTAAGCGTAGCTACGGACGTCGATAGAAAGCAAAGAACGATGGACCACCTCTGGTGGCGCGGGGCGAGCGGTCATCCGTGCCCCGTCTAGGTCACTTGCTGTGCTGTCGCGTGTGCTTCATTTTTGACATTGCCGCGACGTGTCACAAGCCCTGCAACGCTACCGATGCGGCTGACTTGAGGTGGACAGGTGTCGGGTCATTTTTGGTGGCGTCCCGTCGCCGCACGTTCCAGCAACGTTCTCGACGCCCACACGAGGGAGCAAAGGCTCGTTGTGCAGTGACACGGTTGCAAGACGAGCTCGCTACCCTCGGTTTCTGACGCCTATCCGTGCGGGAACGCCATCGCGGCCCTTGCGGAATGAAGCTCGTCAAGAGATGTCATGCGAGAACGTTCCTCGGCCTTTCTGCGGCACACTTGTAATCGCAGCTGGGCGTGCCACGTGGGCAATGCTAGCGCAGCGGATGGCTCGCGTGCCACCACTTATGCAGCTTGGGACAGGCCGGATCCCATCGTAGAGGATTATTGGGTATTCGTCGTGTCATGGGCGACAGTAGTAACCAGACGCATTTTCCATTTCACTCGCTGTCCCATGATCACCCGACAGTTTGCAGCCGTGGTCGCTGCGTTCATGGCCACCACGTCTCTCGCCAGCTCTGTGGCGCGCTTGCCGCTGACGATGACGCCACATGGCCTCTCTTGGGAATGTACCGGCAACGTCACGCTCAACAACACGGTGTACGCTGTTGTGCCCGATACAACGACGACGGCCGTCACCGTTCCCGGTGTCGCGGCGTCGAGCGCCTTTAGCATCGGTAGCAGCAGCGTCGTTGCTACTACAACGTCCTTTGGCAACGACGGTCGCCTCGGCCTCGGTCGACCGACCACCAACACGTCGGGGCTCCACGGCGTCGACTCGTTCACCGTGTACCTGGCACCGACGCAGAGCGCGGTCGTATTCAACGGTCTCGACGACGCCTACCATGCGCAAGCGTCCTTGACGCCCGTGTTATTACCGCTGTTGTTGCTACCCACGCCGGTGTGGACGGTCGCCATGTCGAGTCTCGCGTTCGAAGCCGGCGCACCCGCGGCCGCCTGCGCCAACACGCTCTGCCCCGTCGCCCTCAACGCGACGCACCCGACCATTCAAATGCCAAGAAGCCTCTTGCTCACGGTACGTGTTCCGCTTTGGGCACCGGTTGATCGCTCAAACAAGTGGATAGATGGCAGCGCGGTATCTCTCAACGTGCGCTATGGTTGATGGCCTCTACGTATGTCCGACCACGGTCGCCTTGCCGACGCTCCGCTTTACACTGGGCGACCCATCAACAACTTTCCTTTTGACACCGGAGCTCTACACGGACGCCGGACGACGACGACTGCTGTTGAGCGACGGCGAGAGCAACGAGTGGATCTTGGGTCTTCCCTTCTTCCAGCGTGTTCCAATCACATTCTCTATTGCGGGCCGGTCCGTCACCTTACACTGTCCACCGGGTAGCGTCCGCGTGCGGCCACTCGATGCTAAAGCGACGACGTCGGCGTCATCTTTAGGTACTTTGTATACCTTGGCGCTTGGCTTGCTCAATCTGTCTCTGCAGGCAATCAAGCCCCGTCGTGGGCGGTGACGCTTCTTCTCGTGGTCTCGGTGCTCATGCTCGCAGTGAGCGCTTGGTTTATCAAGGCGTTCCGCGACCACAAAGGTATAGACAACCTGTCCATTTTCAATGCATATATGGATGCCCTTTCTGATGAGATGTCCTAGTGAGTCTCCAACGCCGCTTCTCGGTCGAGTCGACATGCCTCGAGAGCCCGTCGTGTATTCTCGTCACCACGCCGTGATGTATGAATAATGTGGTCGCGCACACAATGACAAGTTGTCTTATTTACGATGTTTCCGAAAATGCGACGACGACCTAGTCTTTAAAGACAGGCGGCTTGCGCGTCGCCATGGCCGTCATGGCTTCGGCCAAGTCGGCGCTGTACAGCATCGCCGAGTTCCAAAGCTGGACTTGGTCGAGCGCGTCTTGGGTCGAGTGGTCGCGCTGGTACTGGACGACCTTCTTCACACCGCGGATCGTAAGCGGACTCTTGGCCGCAATCGTCGAGGCAAGCGCGGTCGCGTGCTCGAAGAGATCGTTCACATCCGCATGGCTCTTGAGGACGAGGCCCATGGACTCGGCCTCGTCGCCAAAGAAGCTACGGCCCGTGTACGCGAGCTCCTTGGCCCGTTGCTCGCCGACAAGGTTCGGTAGGCGCTGGAGCGTGCCGACATCGGCCACGATCGCGAGGTCGATTTCCTTGACGCTAAACTCAGCGCTCGTATCGCAGAGGCGGATGTCGCAGGCCGTGACAAAGTCGACGGCACCGCCGATGCAGCTACCGTGGACGGCGGCAATGACCGGCACACGGCAGCGTTCAGGAGCTGAGATGATGCGCTGGAAGCGCGCAATGACACCGAGAAGCGCCTCACGCTTCCGACCTTCGCACTCAAAGGACGTGATGAGCTCTTGCATGGCCGCAAACACGCCGAGGTCCATGCCCGACGAGAAGCCGCGGCCCTCGCCGCGAATGACCACCGCGCGCACCTCGGGCGTGTGCTCGATGGCCTGGAAGAGCACATCGAGTTCATTCCACATCTGCATGTCGAACGCGTTGAGCTTCTTTGGGCGATGCAGCCGGACGTTCAAGACGCCGTCCTGGACACCGGCGTTGCCGCTGGTCGCCGCGCCGTTGAGCGACGACGTGATCGCAAGCGTCTCGAACGAGAGGTCTTGCAGCTTGGTCACCGATGCCGTCGGCTGAATCCACTCGCGCAGGAGCAAGATGTTGGACGCGTCGCTGCGCCAGCGGCGGAGCGGGCGAGCGGCGAGCGGCGAGAGGCGACGGGTGATCGCGTGCATGTCGAGGACAATTGGCAAGTTGCGTGTTGACACAACAGCCAAGATTTGCTTCGTATCCGGACATCCGGATAGGGAGAAAGGCCATTGGGCGAAACGCCGCAGCTTCAACATCGGTTGAAGATTGCTACAGCATCGTCAAGCGCACGATGATGATACATGGCCGGTGCTTTCAACACAGTGTGGCAAATCACGCTCTTGTACGGTGTCATTAGTGTATGACGATCTTGTGAGCCTAACGAGGGCGCCAACGACCCATGTAGTCGCACCCAGCTTAGCCGGCTCGAAGCCGAAGCCGAAATGAGTCGAGCGGAGCCGTGGGCCCATGACGTTCAAGTGGTTTCTTGCGGACCGCGCCGCTTTGGCGTACAGTGCGTCGAGTCGTTTACACCCGAAATGCTCTCGAAAGTCTTCTCGTCTTCGGTGCTGCATAATACATGCCCTACATGCGCGAGACCGAAATGAGAACGTACTACATGTGAGCTCATTTTGTCATGTACTGCACGTGCCACAGGCAGAGCCCAGACAGCACATCAATCCCCAGTGGGCTCTCTGTTAAACCAGAGAGTTTGCTACCAGTAATATCGCGAACGATTCGACCACGATAACCTTCCACTAGCAAACAAGACAATGACGCTCCCACCGCATTTCTGGAAAACTGCGGTACCGTTGCATAGTCCTGACTACTGGTTTGCCACAAAGAGCTTGGGTTTACAAGGTACACTACAAATTATAATATTACAAAACTCTAACCACAGCGCTGTTCAGGCCGGCAGGAGAGTAACACAGTTGGTAAAGTCGACGTCATATATATGGCGTGGGCATAAGCCGCCAGCGCCGGTGGCAAGGCCACACCCGCGTACAAAGCGGCAAGTAAAAAGCTTACTTGAAGTCCACCACTCACGCAGGGATCAAAGATTTCCAACACCATACCACCGCAAGCGATGATGTGCCGCACGACCTTGCTGGAGGCTATGCAGGCGTACAGTCGGGCACATTCGGAATACCCGGGCCGACGTCACCGCCACATGCTTCCGTTTTCTTAAGTAGATTTTGAGGCCGATCGCCACGGCACCGCTCGAGACAGAATCTGGTGTCGTCACCAGTGTTTGATGCAGTGTTTGCGCTCGCCGTTATCCGCGCGCGGTTGAAGCGCCGTGCGTTTCATTTTGGCTAGGGATGGATCCGATCGTACCGACGCCGGATGCTGCTGTCAGCACCGGCTGCCGGCAGCGCTTGCCGCCGCTGCCATCTGCGCGCCCCGAGATTCAACCGCGTCGCGAGAGCCACTTGCACGTCATCAAGATGGGCCGAAGTGCGCGTGCGCTCTCGGTTGGGCTCGTCAAGGCACCAGTGGTATTGCCGTCGAACAACGACGACGGCGATTCAGGAATACCCGCCGACATCACGGAGGAGCTCCGGGCCGCGGCACCCAACATGGGCCGGGACATGATTGCACTCTCGACGACGGCAATGCCCGTCCAAGTGTCGATGACGCCGCAAGAAGAAATGCAGACGCATGTGCATCTGGAAGCCGCGCTCAAGGCCTCCGATCCCGACATGCAAAAGGCTTCTCAAGGTACGACACAGTCCATGGACCTCTATGTCATCAACTCTTCTGCTACGTAGCTGGACCCAATGGGACGCAGCGCGTGGCAAAGGAGTTGATTCCGGTCCACCACCGCTGGGTCTTGCATCCGCACGGCAAGGTGCGACTGCGCTGGGACGTGGTGTGCATCGTATTGATCTTTTACAACGCCTTTGTGGTCCCTGTATTACGCGCCAAATTCGATCCCGAAATTCTATCAATGTATCGACTAGTTTCAAGTGACGTTTGAGACCAACATGCCCGAAAGTGCAAACGAAGCCATTATCGACATTGTCCTCGATACTTTTTTTGCGATCGACATTGTAGGCACACTTACCGCGCTTATGTGCAAGGACGGATTGTCTTTGTTTAGGTGAGCAATTTTTTCACAGCGGTCGAAATCAAAAACAAGGTGCACTTTACACGCCGCGTCATTGCGTGTGACTATCTCAAGTCGTGGTTTTTCGTCGACGTGGTCTCGAGCTTTCCGTTCTCGGCGGTCGTCAGCGACGCCGACCCCGTCCTCTCCAAAGCCCTCAAGCTCTTTCGTCTGCTTCGGCTCCTCCGATTGTTTCGAATGCTGCGGATTCTCAACCGGCTCCAGCACGCACTCTTGATTCGCTCAACGATCAGCAGCCTGTTTCGCTACTGCCTCACCGTGCTTTTCATCTCGCATTGGTTTGCGTACGCTCGTTTGCTTGATTTTTCCCGATTTTCTCGATTTTCATGTTGTTTTTAGGTGCATTTTCTTCTGGGTCTCGTTCCAAGACTCCACCTACAGCGACCCGCCCGTCAACACGTGGCTCAAGTCCAAAAACCTCCTTGACACATCGGTGTGGGATCAATATGTCGCTGCCTTGTACTGGGCCATTATGACGCTGTACGTACCGATGACGATGCGTAATCAAGTTGGTTAATGCGATGGCATCTAGCGCGACAGTCGGATATGGCGACAGTACGAATTGGAATTTCATTGTTCCAGCACGGATGGTTGATGGCATGTCTAGTCGCGGGCGTTAGCCCCAACGAGCGCTGCTTTTCCATCTTTGCCATGTTTGCCGGCGCTGGTATCTTTGCGTACGGTATCACCAACGTACGTTTTTCGTTTTCTCAAAATCTCTCATGTTGACGAGATAAAAACCCGCTATTTTGAACCGTACTGAGCGCGGCTTTATAGATTGTGTCGCTGGTCTCGAGCTTGACGGCGCACGAGACGGCGTTCCGAGAGAAGATGGTATGTGTGTCATCGTAGCGCTTGACATGGCTGTAATGCATTGCTCTTAGGACGAAATCAACGAGTATATGGCGGCGCGAGACCTGCCGCGGCACTTGCGCGATGAGATTCGGGATTTTTTTCAAAATGCACACAAGTCGAAAGAAAACGACCTGCAGCAAGAGCAAGAACTGTTGAACGAACTCTCGGCGATGCTGCGCTCCAAGATTGCGCTCGCCATCAACGACCACTTTTTGTGGAAATTTCCCTTTTTCAAAGGCAGCGACCCCAACTTTATCTTGGATCTCGCGCTCAGCATGCGCATGATCTGTTTTGCGCCGTTCGAAGACGTGTGCGTCGAGGGCGAGCTCGGCCACGAAATGTTTTTCGTGTTTCGTGGTGCCGTTGAAGTCATCAAGGACGGCGAGCAAATCACGGTGCTGGGTGAAAATCAATATTTTGGTACACGACCCTACCCCTATAAAGTCCCAACTGATGGAAATAGGCGAAATGGCGATTCTCAACCGCGATTGCAAACGCATGGCCACCGTGCGCACACTGTGCTTTTGTGAACTGCGCATGCTCTCGCGCGTACGCTTCCTGGAAGGTAACGACGAGTTTTTCAACTGCGATTATTTTCAACTGCGTTTCACCAATCTTGCTGATTTTGCTGATTTTGCTGATTTTGCCGATTTGAAGCAAAAGCTCGCCAACTACTCCAAAGCCCGTATGAATGGCGCTGCACTCGTTAACACGGCCGTGCAGCCGGATCGTTAACACGGCCGTGCAGCCGGATGGCTCCAAGTCCGAACCCAAGGTCCGTCGCAGGTCCTCGGTGATACCAAAGGCCCCTGGGTACCGGCCCAATTGGGCCACACCACCGCCGACCGAACCTTCCACAGCCGAGAGCACGAACGCAGTGAGCGCTGAAATGATGTTGCAGCTCGACCACATCAAACGCGTCCAAGATGTCCTTGTCGCCAAAATCAAAAACATGCACGCGATCCTGGATCGGATGCCCGTCGTCGAGGCCCGAGCTGCCGGTCCAAGCGCCGCGGCGACAACGACCAATATTGCTGCATAACGTTATGCAAACAAAGTACGAAAAACAGATCTCCATATCTCTATCGTTCCGCTCTACAAAACATCATGGTAATAGACCCCTGGGTCGCAGTCATGAAACTACTCGCTGATATTTTAAGGGTTTACCCTACCCCGTCTCGGTCATATTGCACCATACCTTGTTTCCGCCAATCGTCATGCACGGCGACAATCCAGCAGCCAATCAGACGCATTGGCGCCCGAAAGTGCAACCGCCGGGGACACAAAACATTTTGATGCCCAAGGAGCGCATCACGCCGGCAGGATCCTCGGGTGCGCCGCACCGCCTCCGTGGCTCTCAGCGCCTCGAGGTGCTGCTCGGGTTCGGCTACCTCTACCTCTCGCTCGCTACCGGCGTCTGGTACCTCTACATGCTTGCACCCAGCATGCAAAACGATCTCTGGTGGGCCAACTACAACACGACCGGCCACGAGTCGTTCCTCGCCGACATTGCCAATATCGCACTCACCACGTCAGCGCGCGGCGCCCTCGATGTCTTTGGCCCGGCCGCGACAACGAGCAAGCGCTACGACGCGTCCGTCGCCTACACCAGCGTCTACCCGACGTACGCCAACCAGCTCATCCTCTCCGAGTGCGTCTCGGTGCCGTACGCAGTCGGCAACCTCCGCAATCTCTCGGCCGCATGGAGCACGCGCATGATGACGCAGTACTGCTGGGTTGACTTTGATCGTGCATATGAGCTCGCGCACACGGATGGTCGCCAGCGTCGGTGCCAGCAGCAGTACGCGTCCAACGGCGCCGTGTACCTCGAGAGTGTCTTGCGTAACCTCGTGTGGGACGATTTTATCGCCATGTGGGGCGGCCCCGGCAACAAGTTTACGATCACGATCCAGAACGGTTTGGTGGGCTTGCCCGGCGGCCAAGCGTGGCTCGACGCCACCGCCAGCGCGCGAAGGACCACGTCGATTGCGGACGAGATTGAGCGCTGGGAGAGGTTTCACCTGTCGTACTTTCAGCTGCAATGGGGCAACAAGCGCGGCCCTGGCGTCACCGAGACCATGCTGCTCCAGAACGCGATCGGCATGCAGCAGCAGTTTCAGCTCAAGAACACGCCGCTTCTCAACGGACCGTGGACGTCCATGATCATGTACTGGCGTTTCCTCAACGACATTTTCGTGTTTCAAAAACCACCCCGAAGTTTGGTGCGGCAAGCGCCCGACTTTTTTGGCCTCAACTCGACCCTCCATGGCGCGGCCATCGATCTCGAGGCGTACCAGGGTCTCTGTCCTGGTCCTGGACGTTGTGCCAACCAAGTCGGCGTCTTTCACTCGACAGTCGGACCCTTTATCAGTGTCGACATTTTCTACGTGGCGCCACCACCAACCATTGCGCTGGCCATGGCGGCTTTCCAGCGCGACCTCGCGTTGGCCTCGATGTCGGTGCAGACGGAAAGCCTTTCCGTCGTGTCGACGCGTCCCGTACCGCCGGCATGGACACCTGGCTACGCTTACTATGGCGGGAACCCCATGTGCACCAACAACGCCGTCCGGTCGTTCGTGCAGCAGTCGTTCGACTACAGCGATGCCTGCGGAACGCCCAAGCCGCTGCTTGTCACACACGCACCTGACGCGCTGCTCTTCAGTCTTGTCGCGTCACCCAATATCCCGTCGGCAGCGATTTGCGCCTCGCAGAATGTGACGCAAGCCGCTTGTGTCGCCTCAATTGACGCAGCACGGGCCGTCGCGAAGCAACTGCCGCCAGTCTCAGGAACCACAGCGACAGCCATGGCCGCGATTGCGCCCAGCGTCGCGCCGCTTGGCGTGAGCTTGATGCAGTACGCCAAGCAAGTGAGCACAGGCAACTGGGTGCTCTTGCAGCACGCTCTGCTCTCGGACCCGACCTGGAGCGTGTTTGGATACCTCTTTCTTCTCGACTGGGCGACGGGCAAGCGTGAAGTGCTTTCGTTTCAAGGCGACGTCACCTCGCTCGTCCTTATCTCCAACGAGTACGCGCCGACGACGTTGGCGACCCCCTCGAACGAGCTCAAGCAAGCGACCAAGGTCTTCTACTACCTCTGTGTGTACACAAGCGTGCTCTTACTGCTCGTGGCGTCTCTCTGCACGTTTTACGGGGCGCTCAGCGGCTTTCACCTCGCGGGTCGCAACTTGTTCCGCTTCAACCGTGTCGTGGGCTCGGTCTGGATCGGCCGCCCGCTGCTCATCGTGCGCGGCGGCACCGCGATGCTGCTCCTCAGCACGGCCCAAGTGTCGTTGGTGGCAACGGGCCACGGCACGCGGTTCGCCTCGACGCCGCGCACACTCGTCGAGACGATCGTTGTCGCGGGCGAGGCGACGTGGATCACGTACGTCCTCAACGACATTTTATTACTGGTGGTTCCCCAGCTGTCGGCCTACTACGCGCCAATCAGTAGCTGCGCGCTCTGGCTGGTGTACATAGTACTGGACACGTCGTCGCCCGTCGAGCTCTCGGCGACGCTGCATCGGGCGTGCAGCAGCACAGACGTCGACTACTATATTTCGTGCACCAGCGGCCTCGTTGAAGTGGGCAGCACGGCTCGCATCACACTCTTACTGTGGCTGCAGCTGCTTGTGATTGGTCTTGCCCTCTGCGCTACGGCGGTCGTTTTACACCTCCGCGGGTCGCTCGCCAGCAAAGACGACATGGCGTCGGACACGCCGTTTCTCATCTCGTCGGCGACCAACGCCTTCTTGACTACCATGGGCGAGACGAACGTCTGGGCGATCGACCGCGTCGCATGCATCATGGCCGGCCTCGTGCCCTTCACGCTCCGCCGAAAGCACTTTACGTTCGACCTCAAGTCGTGGCTCATCGTCAAGGACACTGTGTCCGTGTACCAGTCGGGCAAGACGACGATGGTGGAGACGCCGCCGCTTGGGCACAGCATCTCGTCCGGGTCGCTCTTGCTGCTCTCGGGTTCCTCGCCCCTCGAGCGCCACAGCTGGGATCGGCCACTGGCGCTCGCAGGACTTGTCTACATGACGGCAACCATCGTCGGATCGCTCTCGTACATCAACGTCTCCGACGTCAATTTGGCCAATGACATTTGGTGGGCCAACTTTAACAGCACGGGCGCCCACGCTTTTATCGCCAACTGGTACAACGAACAGCTCTATCTCAACGCGAGCTACACGTCGTTTGCGCTCGATGCACCTAACATCTCGCACACGTCCTTGTATGGCGCGCCCGATATCTTCGTCACAACCGCCGCCAACTTTGGTTCGAACCTCCAACATACGCAGCTGAATAGTCTACCGGCCGTCATTGCTGGTCTGCGGACCATGGACGCTTGCATCCATGCGCCATGGATATTTACGCAATACTGCTTTCTCGACTTTCAACAGACGTGGCCCATGGCCAACTCGGCGCGGCGCCAACAAAGGTGTGCCAAGATGACGACCAACGGCGCCGTGTACCTCGAGAGCCTCCTTCGCAACGTCGCTTGGGCCGACTGGCAGCCGTGCTGGGGCGCCGCGTTCCAAATTGCTTTCGGCAACGACCTCCAAACCTCTTTGGACGGCCAGCGCTGGCTCGCACAGATGCAAGCGTCCAATCCTTTGTCCGTTGTGGACGAAGCCACCCACTGGCGCGCGTTTGGTATCGCGACGTACGATGTTCAGTGGCAAAACTACAAAAAAATCGGTCTCCTCAGCTCGTACAACGTCTGGTCAGCGTACAACACGAAGGCGGCGTTGACGCTGCAGGCGCTCAACGGCTCGTACCAGTTCAGCGCGCAGACGACATTCAAGGCGTACTGGGCCCTCGCCAGCGACTTGGCGGCCGTGACGTCCAACAGCAGCGGTATCGGCAGTCTCTCGCTGCTGCGGTCCAGTGCCCGCTTCGCCTTTGCCAACACGTCGCTCGAGTCGGTGCTCATCGCCAACACGACGCTCTCGGCGCCGTTTGGCGCTGGTTTTAGCTTTGTCCAAAGCATCCTCGGACCCTTTGGCTCGATGGACATGCGCTACGTCCGTGCACCGGCGTCGGCCCAGCAGCTCCTTCTGCACGTTCTCGGCGCCCTGCGGAGCAGCGCCTTGCGCTCCAACCAGAGTCAGTCGGCGTATCTAAGTATCTTTGTGCCCGACTCGATGTACCCCGTGCCGCAGCCGTGGCTCAGCGCCAAGCTCCTCTCGTACGGCGGGTCGCCGCTCTGTCCCGACCTCGGTGCCTCGAGCGGACTTGCGGTGACGACGGGCTTGGTCAGTCTGCTTTCGTACAGTGCGCGCTGCTCGAGTGCGACGGGTGCGCAAGCAAAGATGACGCCGTCGCGAGAGCAGGTGGTCTTTTCTCTCGTGCTCTCTGGCATCACTGCTGCCAGTCCCATCACGGCCATCTGCGCGGCGGATACGAGCGGGTACAAGGCCTGTCCCGACTACCTACGTGGCGCCAGATCGTACCTCGACACGTATCTGCCTGCCGTCGACTGGGCACCCGAGGTGGCCGCCACCATCGCGGAGACGACGGCGCTCAACATCTCGCTGCTGCAGCTGACGCGCACCAACAAGACGTCGCCGCTTACGTGGTCGCAACTCCCGCTCTTCAACCCGAGCGACACCCACTTTGCATTCTTTGCGTGGTGCTACATGGCCGAGTGGCTCCAAGGGTTTCGCGAAGTCGTGGCATTTGAGAATGACGTTGGCAGCGTCACGCTTCTGACCGACCAATTGCTGCCGCTCCAACAAGGCGTGGCGCCGTGGGAGATCCCGACGACGATGGCCACGTACGCTCGGACCGGCGCCATGTACGTGACGCTCGTCGTGCTTTCGATCGCGGTCTTGGCGTGCGTCTACATCATCGCATCGAGAGGGTATGCCGAGGGCATGAACATGCTCGAGCTCAGTCGCGTCGGTGGCATCGTCTGGGTCGGTCGCCCGCTGCTCTTTCTGCGATCGCTTACCGCCATGGCCGTGCTCTGCACCGGGTCGCTGGACCTCCAAGTGACTGGCAGTATGAGCTACCTTCACTCGACCGACGTGCCGTGGTACAAGACGTGTCTTGCGGCGAGCGAAGTCTCTTGGCTCGTCGCGATAGTCAACGACGTCTTGATGATCTGGACCAAAGAACACACTGCGCTCTACGTGACGCCCAACGGGCTTCTCGTGACAGGCGCGACGGCGCTGCTGAGTATGTTGTCGCCCGTGACGCACACGGCGACGCTTGGCCACACGTGTGCGATTGCCCACGTCGACTTTCAGATGGTGTGCACTGGCGGCGAGGTCGTCATTGGTGTCTGGGAGCGCGTCGCGCTGCTTGTGCTGCTGGTCGGCGTTCTGAACGTCGTGACGTTTGGGCTCGTGCGCTGGCTCGTGCGCAAGCCGCCAACGAACCGCGCCGAGTCGCTCTTGCTCTACGCGGGCGCCAAGTACCTCTTTCTGAGCACCAAGTGGATTTACAAAGACGTCTACTACCTCGACCGCGCGTCTGCTGCGCTCAACGGGCTCGTGTCTGTGCGCTACAACGGGATCTATTACGGCCTCGACATCAAAACGTGGCGAACGTTTACGCTCACACGACCCAACGTGGCAGAGATACCGTCGACACACGCGTTGTTTACGCCGGCGATGTACGCACTGCCGTTGGACAACTTGTCTGCGATTGACCAAGCGATCAAGAAGAGCCAACTGGTGCATGTAAAATCCAAGGCAACCTCGGGCACAAGTCGAGGCGCCACATAAGAGCCAACGCGTGCCTCATTCGGTGGCTGTGATCCAGGATATGATGGCGCACAGTTGAGGAGGAACGATGTGCATTAGAGCATTGTCTATGCTTACGTATTGGTGGTCATATTATTACGTGTTTTAGTGATTCGCTGTCCCCGACTTTGCCCATCGCGCTTTGCCCAGGAGCCGGTCGTACGTTGACGGCTCGAGTAATAACCGGCGTATTGCCGACGTCCACCGGCGTGTTGAAGACGGGGCCGAGGATACCGGCAACCATGCCCGTCACGAGGGATGTTGGCTTTCGTGATCTCCCACACTTCAAAGCCCGTCATGTCCTTGACGTCGCGAAGACTCACGGCGTGCTCGTGCTCGACGCAGAGAACGTATGGCAGCGCGTACGACTTGAGGACGATGCGGTTACCCGACTGGAGAGTGCGCTGGGCGTTGCGTACACCGGGCGCCAAGGACGAGTCGGCGTCGGCGCTGAGCGGCAGCGTCCCTTTTCCAAAGAATTCGTCCTTCTCGCCGAGCCGCCACTTTTCGGCGTTGGACATGATCGGGCCCTTCTTGGTCGTGATTGCCGTGCCATCGATCGAGATGAACTGGCCCCGAGATGCAGTAGATGGCGACCGTGTCCGTGTACTTGACGCGCCCTTCGTCGCTGCGCAATGTCACGTTGACGAGCACAAAGATCTCGTCGACGTCGAAACCGGCGCCACCCGCGTCCACGGACGACACGAGCTGGTTCGTCTTGGCGTTCACTTGCGAATGGCAGCGAAGACACGAGATGTTGCCGGCGCGGATGCGGATGCGCGTCAAGAGGTAGAAGATGTCGCCGCCGTGCCCGTGGTCGCCGGTGCCGAGGCGAAACACATGCGACGGCGCGCTCGAGGCCGCCGACGTTGCCGTCATGTGCATCGTCGTCGTGCGCGTCTTGGTCGTTGCGACGCTGCTCTGGCTGTAGCTCGAGCCAAGTCCTAACGACGACGACGACCGGGACTCGAACGTGAACTGCGGCGCCTTGTTCGAGCTCACCGACATTTGGCTCACGGCGTCGAGCGTGTTGAGCAGCATCGAATTCGGGCTCAGCGGCTCTTGGGGCGCCGCCGCCGGCAGAAACATCGCCGTGCGAGACTCGCGAAAGCTCGAGTACGTCGACGCGCTGCTTCGCCCTGGTGCCATGGTCGAGTCCAGAGTCAGTCGGCTGCCCGGCGTCAACGGGTCTGTGGTCCCATACGTCGTCGTCGTTGTTGTTGCTTGCTGCTCGGACGTTGTCATACGGCTCGTGAGCGGCGGCTTCTTAAAGTGCATCGTCGTGCCGGACGCCCGCACCTCGCTGGTTGCCGCCAACGACCGGACAGGTGTCTGGAACAGTGGCACCGCGGGCTCGGGCGCGGCCACGGGGGCAGGTACTGCCGACGTCATTGCCCGTCGAGGGGGTAGCTGGGGCATGTTGAGGGTGAGCTTGGGCTTGGGCCGGAGCCGGGTCCGTCCGGTCCATCGCCCCACGCCCGTTCTCCCGGTTTGAAATCTCGTATCTGGAGATATCCAGTCAAGAAGGCAGATATCTAGTCGACATCTTTTAGTCTAGCGGTATAGACACTGGTTTACCACCAGGTAGATCAGGGTTCAAGGCCCGGTGAGATCCCTACTTTCTGATTTATCCTATACTGTATTTTCATTGGCCAAAAAGGGACCAATCGGTTCTGCAATCGGATGTGTGAATTCTTGTTGCCGGCCATGACGACAACCGACGCTGTCCTCCATGGCCTCTTCCACGCCATGCACTAAGCGTACCCTTGCTTGGACGATGTATCCGCCGCAAGAGCTTTCGCAGAACGCGATCTTTCACAAGTGTCGAGCTATCCGGATACCATAACCGGTGCCATCATGTGGAAACGGCCTTGTCATTTTCAATTGCTCATGGATCGCCAGGTACAAGGCTGGTCAGCCCTGCCGCGTAGTCACAGTGGTACCTGCACAGGAGCACGACCAGCAGGCGCCTGGCCGGCGCCGCCTCCGCAGCGATGGCCCCGCGGAGGCCCCGCTGCCACTACGTCCGCAGCGCCTCGGCGGGCCGCGCCAGCGCACTGAGGAGCAACGGAATGACGACGGCATGGCGCGAGCGCGGCGCGACCTGGTACACCCACGATACACCTTCGCATGCTCATCGCCTCGATTGCGTAGAATCGCCTCATCGTGAGGAAGGTTGCGACCGCCCAGCGCCGCGTCATCGACGCATCGCCACGCGAGGTACACATTGTGTTGTCTACCACGTCGCTTACATGGAATGCTAGGAGTGGCCAGCGTTGCGCGCCGTCCACTCGACGTGGGCGTCAAGGGCCCCAACTGTCTTGGCCATGTTCAAGCCACACGAGTGGCCCGTCGGTGCGTCACACGACCACCAGTAGGTTGCATGGCCTGTATATGCATTGCGCTCGACAAGATAACGACGTACTCGTAGATGCTCGTTTTGTTTCGAGACCATCGAGCCAGGGCAGAGCGTCATTACTCTGCCCTGTGTGCATACTTACCATGCCACGGAAATCAAGAGCTGGCTCCTCCAGCATCCCACGTGCCCCATGTGCAGTATCCCGGTGGTTGAATTTCCTTGATTTCCCATGTACGATGACTCTAGTAACATGAACAAGACGATATTTAGAGTACTTTCTGTGCTTTGCTTGAGAGCCAATCGTCGGGACGGATGTGCTCCCACGCACTCGAGAAAGTCTAGTCGCCGCACCAGCGTCTGTGACAAAGCCATGTCGTGCGCAGGTCGTCGTGGAGCCGACGGGAAGCGCATGGAGAACAAATAGTCGTAGCTTGGCGACGGGGTTCGGGAACGTCTTTTCCATCGCAAAACCTTTGGTCGGGGCATGGCGGCTTGTGCGCCACTGCCAAGCGCCCGTCCGACCGTGCTTCTGGTTCAAAAGAGCAGTGCGTGGTCTACGATGTAGAGGACGGTAATTGCCAAGCGGCAGAAGCGATGCAACTGCGCATGTAGGTCGTGGGCTCAGGAATTGGTCCGCGCCGAAAACCAAGTCGGCGCGAAACACTGCCTACGCTTACGGTTGACTTTGCGGTCCAGAATCCAAGACGCGGGTGAGAGTACCTTCTCGTTCGAGCAATCGCATTCTGGCCTCCAAGACCCATGCTTCGTTGATAAATGTAGCACTCGGTTGAGATACACTGCAACTCATTTTGTGGCTCCGTCAAACGCCCAGACTTGACGAACACCGTTTCTAGATTGTTGGATTAATGGTCAACGCTGCGACCTATCAGGTCAATCTTGCACGCATCTCCATTGCCTCAAGGCGTCCGAGCCGTCGATCGCCGAACTTGGCTACGTCGGCGTCGTCACTATGGTTGTTGGCGTGACTCATCGTTCCTCCTGATTCTCAGATGAGGTGGAAGGGGACACGACCTCACTGGCGTGCCCTTGCCGTGTCGACAGCTTCAGCGTGGCACGGCTCCCCTTAAATGTGGCATATGGATCCTGCCGGTCCGAGGCTCATACTTAACGTTTGTATGCTGCGACCATCATTCGCGCACATCTCTGCTGATGGGTGTTTGTTTTAAATGTGCGCGCATCAACCGGAATTTAAATTGCATGCGTCGCTGCGCGCGACTGTTACACAATGTATACCACTGGGTGTGTCGCTTGAGGTGCATGGAATAAAAATTCGCCTTGAAGTCGCTAAAAGTGGCATCTGCACCACGTGACGACGCGCTTTGCCATTCGCACATTTCGATGGCACCCGGCAAGCGGAAGGCGGCGCTGGTGAGGGACGCGGCGGCCGAGGTCGTCGCGGCTGCTTTCAAAGGCAAGGGGTTTCCGCAAGCAGAGCTACACAAGGTGTTCGCCTCGCACAGCTCTCGGAACGAGGACGGCGTCTGGGTCGTGAACGAAGCCCTCCTCAGCGGCAGACAAGGGGCTGCATGGCGAACGTTGAAGGCCCACTTGGCGACTCTTGAGCAAGACAAAGCCATCATCGCCCTGCATAATGTCGCTTCTTCGATGAGTTCCAATCCTATTGCAGTTTCCCAAGAGTATGACCGGCTCTCTTGGTCGCACTACTTATATTCCTCACATAGGTTGAGGAACATCACCAAGCGTCACAAGCTTGGGGGGTCAGCGTCACCCGCACCCTCCACAGTCCCGGCTGCGTCCTCCACGGCCTCGCCCGCGCCGCCCAAGACCCCGGCCGCGTCCTCCGACGGCCTTGCCGCGTCGAAGGACGACACGAAGCCCAAGAGTGCTCTTCGCATGACCCAGAAGACGCTCAACATGGATTCGGATGCACCCGTCAAGTCGGCTGCACCGACGCCGCCGTCTTTCAAGTCGCCCGGCCCTGCAGTCGCGCCGATGGCAGCGGCGACGCACCAAGTCAACTGGACTCCACCGCCGTCTTTCAAGTCGCCCGGCCAACCACTGCCGCCGCGGACGCCTAGCAGAGTCACGACGCCTCAGTCGATGCCGCCGCGTACGCCGATTCGGCTGCTGCAAGCGACGCCGACGCGCACGCCTCGGTCGATGCCGCCGCCTCACCGGGAGGCGAAATCAAGCGAGCACGACGACGAGCTGCTGGGCCCCTTGCCGCTCTCCCAGAGCACGGGGTCAAGTGAGTCGTCGCAGGAGTTTCACATGGCGCTCTCGGCGCAGAGTCCCGTCCCGGTGAGCGCGCGTGCCTCGGTACCGCCGGCAACTCCCGCACCAGCGCCACCGCCGCCTGCAACGCTCGATACGCTGCAGGCAGCCATCGAGGCTCAAGGTGCGGCCATGATGGCCTCCATCGAGGCTCTAGGTGCGGTCATCAATGCTCGATTCAATCGCAACGACAAGGAGCTCCAGGCGATGCGTATCCGCCTCGACGGTGGCGGCATCTTGGAGCAGATCGGGCGTGTGTCGCTCGACGAGCGCCCCCGACAGCAACCTCGCCGTGCAGCGAGCGATTGCCAAGTTGTCCGACATCACGGACATTTTTGAAGTCTTCAAACACCTTGTCGGCCGACGACAAGGCCAAGTTTACTGCGATCATCAAGAAGTTGATGACTTGTCCGAACAGCTGCAAGCCGCCGACGCTGCGTCCCGCGCTGCGGTCATGCAGAGCATTGGCGACTTGTCCAACCAGGTGCAAGCCGTCGACGCAGCGACGCGTGCGGCGATTCTTGCTCGCATGGACGACTTTTCCGGGGAACTCGAGGCCACGCGTCGTGCGACAGCGGCAACGATTCTCGAGGTGCGCCCACTTTGCGTATATCGACGTCTCATGTACTTGTGTAGTC